AACTAATCAAGAAGAAAACCAGCCTAGAACTAAGGACTTGTGAAAACAACTAACCAGTGAAAAGGCTTGCCTTCAGAAGTTGTGGATGCTCCATCACTGGAGGCTTTTAAGTAGAGATTGGATATTCCATTGTCTGGAATGGTATACGTCCCCTGCTTGAGCAGGAGCTTGGACTAAAGACCTCAAAGGTCTCTTCCAACTCTCTTACTCTTTGAGAGAAGCACTGCCAACCTCTCCCCCTCCTCTCGTCCCTTCCTGGACACAGAGGGAGGGAGGGAACAAAGGAGGGGAGGGAAACAGGAAGAAAGAAAGGGAAGGAAAGAAGGAGATGGGAATGAAAGGGAGTGAGTGAGTGAGTGAGTGAGTGAGTGAGTGAGTGAGTGAGTGAGGGAGGAGGGAGGGAGGGAGGGAGGAAGGAAGGAAGGAAGGAAGGAAGGAAGGAAGGAAGGAAGGAAGGAAGGAAGGAAGGAAGGAAGGAAGGAAGGAAGGAAGGAAGGAGATTGGAATAAGAGGGAGGGAAAGTCTGAGGGAAGTCCTGCTTAGCACTTGGCCACCAGCAGCCCTGTTGCCCTTTCGCCATCCCCTGGTGGTCCTCTCATCCTATTGCTGAGGATGCTTTGGTTACAAAGCCAGGTCTTCTCGCATGGAGAGGGAGTGGGTCTCCCTCTGACCCAGGCACTTTGCCCTCTTGCATCCACCATGAGCAACCTGGCCAAGGAAAGCGAGCACAGAAGCAGTAGCCTTGAGGGGGAGGTAAACACAGCTGGGCACCCCCTCGGAGAAGTGCGGCTAGGGAGGTAGGGCTGTGGGGTCCTGGTGCCATGGGAGCTCAAGGGCCGGGCTGGGCGCTTGACCTCCGCTGCCCAGGGCTCCAGGCAGTCCGTGCCACTGTCCAGGGCCCCCTGCATGGCCTGAGGCTCAGCGAGGCTCCTCCAGTGGACCATGCCCCGGTCTTCACCCCGGTCCCAGCCCCCCTCCGCCGGAGACCCTCAGATCCGCCCCGGTCCTGCCCAAGCCCGCACAAGTGCCCCTGACGCGAGTGACGTCGAGCTGTCCATGCCCACCCAGTAGGCCACGCCCATGCCAGCCACGCCCACCCAGTGGGCCATGCCCATCTGGCACCCGACGATAAATAAGTGGGGTTTGGGTTGCAGTTTGGCCACTCGGTCTCTAAAAGGTTCGCCATCACTGTTATAGAGGAAGGCTTGACGTGGCTAAACCTAGAAAGTTTATCCAGAGTTCTTTACCATATCTTATAATATCAACAATAATTTCCAATTACAACTATATCTTTATTTATGGCACTTTCAACAGAATATTCTAACCTGTACATTTCTACAGCACGTTCATCTTCCTCATTGAATTCATCTTCATTTTCTTCAAGTTCCTCCAGAGTCATATCTTCATAGGTCTTAACTGATATGGGACAAATACAGGGTCATCAGTACAAACAAGAGTTTGGTAACTCTTACCAAGGACAAATTTCAGACCGTAGATAATATAGAATTATGCAAAAAATCTCTTTTGAATATAAATCATGTAAATGTTATGAATAGAAGCCATTTAAAAACAGCTTGCATGTTATGTCGAGAAAACTTTTGCTCTATAGACCTTTGACTGGTAGAAATAAATAATAGTCCTCTTTGTGAGTTTCTAATGAGTTTCAGGGAGCTAACACATGTAGAGAACTACCGTAAATCTTGTCCCTTAGCTAGCATAATTTTGCATTCTTCCTGTACTATCTGTTGTTTTCTCAATCTCTGCAAAAAACAAAAAGCCCTAAAGGAGAATTTTATTTCTCTGCTATTGAGTGTGCTTTAGAATTCATACCATCTAGGGTTCTGATCTAGCATGGATCCAGGTAGTATGAACATTATTTCAGAAAGTCAGAAAGCACAAAGGGTAGGGCAGCAGGAGGAGTGGACTCACTGTACTTAGTTTCATCTTATGTATTTTACCCTTATCTAATATTATTTATTTAAATTGGGTATAAGTCAAAGCTGCCAACAGAATCCAATAAAACAGTAATATTAACCAATAACCAATAACCAAAAATGTTTTAAGGCTTTTAAAAATGTTAATAGTTATGCCAGGCTCATCTCTGCAAGGGAGGTGGTCCAAAAACCAGGGCAGCAACAGATCCTTCCAGGTCAGCTTATAGGTGAACTTCATTAAGACTTGTGGACTTGCTGGTTTGGGAACTCTGGGGATTGAAGTCCATGCATTTTAAAGTTGCTAAGGCTAGGAAACCCTGGTATAGACCATGCTGTGAAAATGATGGTTCATTAAATTAGGCACAGTTCTCTTGACTAGACGTTCATGTCTGTAACAAACTTGTTGCAGAAGAAAAGTGAATCACTTCTATACAGACTTGAACCTAATTGTTATTGCCCTCAGAATGATGCCATCTCATTAACTCTGCTCCTGCAAATAACTTGCTGGAAGTATTCATTTGCTACAAGGCTACTGCTCCTACTGAGCCAATTCTTATTTTAGGCAGCAATCATCTGCTTCTTTTTTAAATGACATGTAATAAGAAAGGCAATTATAATTCTTGCCAAGGGGAACAATCTTGCTCAATAAAAGAATTTTTAACTCTGAAAAGAGCACCCCATGAATCAAGCAAATGTGTTCAAAAATAATATTCTTACTGCTGATCACATGCTAAGGCCATCTCTCCAGTCCCATGAACAACCTTACCAGTTATTAGTTGATCTAAGGCAGATTTCTTAAATATGTTACTCTCCTTGGTTTGAAACATGCCAGGTTTGAAAAGCTGTTATAGAGGGGGCACTTTATACTGGTGGTAGATGATGAGGTAATTGTGAAGACTGCAGTCCTGTGCTATTGGTACCCTTGGTTTATATTCTCTATTTAATTCTTATTAATTGTAATTGTTCTTATTTTAATCTTTTTATCATTTTGTAAGCCATCCAGAGTCGCTCCAAGAGTGAGAAAGGTGGCATATAAATTTAATGAATGAATGAATGAATGAATGAATGAATGAATGAATGAATAAGCAAGCCTTTTTCAAGTAACATAATCTCTGGAATTCTAGATTACTCATTACTGTTGACATAGGAGCATGTTTTTAAGATTATCATGACTTTTTGAAACCAACACAGGATGATATACAGTTCGTAGCTCTCAGTCAAAGGGTATTGTTTACAAAACAATATTCTTTCTCTGACTTTCTCGAGAGTAGTTCTCAAGAGCTGTTTGATTTGAACTAAAAACAAATTATAATCTACAGTACTTGCCAAATGTCTTACTTATAAAAAGACCAGAAGTATATAAAAATAATTTATATGATAAGGGTACCTTCACTGCTAATTTTATACAGGTACTCTTCAACTTACAACTGATTGTTTAGCAACCATTTGAAATTCCAACGAACTTTCCCAAGACTAATTATGATCTAGATTTGAAGTTCTAATGACCACTTCCCAGGTCATGTGATCATATTTTGGGCACTCAGAAACTGGTCTGTATTTATGATTGTTTACAGAGTCTTTTTTTTTTTTTGGCCAAAACCTGGCATTTACTTCCTATTTCAAGAAAAAAGGGTTAATTGCAGACAATGGACTGATTTAGCAAACACAACATTCTCTTAAATACCGTGGTGTTCACTTAGTGACTATGGTGATTCACTTAATAACCATCACAAAAAAGGATGTAAACTGGGGCGTGATTACATGGTGACCAGCTTAATAACCAGCATCACTTAGCACTCTAATTCTGGGCTTAATTACAGTCATAAATTGAGGATTACCTGCATTTCATTAAAATTATATGTGTAGATCAAAGTGTACCAATTATATATCCTGAGAACTAAATCCCAACCTACAGTGTAGACAGCAGTTGGAAATTCAGCTGAGATTAACCAGTCATCAGAAACACAAACAGTTCTGAATATTTCTCCTGATCCTTGCTTTTCAAGTACAAGAATTAATTTTGAAACCTTTTCACCCAAGACATGCAAAACCCAAAATACAACGAGTACACAAGGCTCACTGAAGTTAACAAGGTCCTTGTTTGCAGTGAGAAGGCTCCTATATTTTGAGGTGATTTTACCCAGCAACCTGGGTAATAAGAGTTCCATATTAATTCAGCATTCTAAACAAGATTGCTTGCCAACTGATTGTTGCTGGAGGATCTGCTGCTCCCTTTCTTCTTCTGCCTGCTCTTGCTCTTTCAGCTTTTCTTTGGGAGGAAGGATGCCTTTTTTACGCAAGATGTCATTCCATTCTGTATCTGCATTAGGATCCTAGAACATAAAAATGATAAGAGCATCAGATGCCAGCGTGACAACCTTATTCCGACTCCCTGCATATTAAGACTGTACCAGCTTTACTACAGAGTTTGAAAAATCCTTTGAAAAGCATGGTGGATTGCTGGCAAGAAGGAATGCCAAACCTTATAATTACAACTCAATTTCCATTTCTGCAGATATGGTTAATAAAATATTTAAACTAATCCTATAGTACTCTTTAAAGAGAGACAATAAGGGAGGCAATTCAGTTGATCCCAGAGGAGCTTTTCTTGTGTCTGAGTAAACATCCAAGCTTGCTTCCATAAGAGAAAAAAAAGGTAAACTAAAAACCATAGAAAAGCAACCAATAGCTAAAAACAGTAAAACTGCAGTACAAATCCACCAAGTGGAAGATCAAATAGGTTCCTGGCAAACCTAGCAGACAACTTTGTCTCCCAAAAAGTAGAGAAGGGAACTAGGGGATTAGCCATTTTGGATCTAATTCTCACTAACAGAGATGAAATGATAGAAGGTGTTGAAGCCATAGGAACACTGGGAGAAAGTGATCATGCAATATTGGAATTCAACATTATGGAAGCACAAGCAATAGAACACAGTCAAACTAGAGTCTTGGACTTTAAGAGAGCTAATTTCAATAAACTTAGAGAGGGCTTGGGAAGGATTCCATGGACGAGAATCCTCAAGGGGAAAACAACTCAAGAAGCTTGGGAAATTTTGAAAAATGAGATAATAAAAGCCCAGTCTAGCACAATACCAACAAAGAGGAAAAATAACAGCTCTCAAAAGAAACCAGCATGGCTGCATAAAGAACTCTCTGACAAATTGAAAGATAAAAAGGACAAGTATAGAAAGTGGAAAGAGGGGCACATA